AATGAGACTAGTGCCATTTCTTTCTTTTGAACCAAGATTTCAATGAGATAGGTTGTGTCTTTAGTCTGCTTGAAATTTAATATTTTTTTTTAGAGTAAAATACATCTTAGTTACTAAGCTTTATAAATTATAGTTGAATTCTTTAGTAGTGATGTAGTAATTTATGATTTTTTAGTTATTCAAATGTATATCTATATATATATATAAAACCTAACAAAATGTTTTGTTTCATATCCTCCACATGCACAATTTTCAAAGGCTTAGCAACCTCCATCAGGCAGCAACCAAGTACAAAGGTTGTAACTAGAGGAGATAATTGTTTGCTTTACTTCTTTATTTACTGTTCTACGGTTTAGGAAAAATACATTTAAGAGCTTACTTCAAAATAGCACTAATCTATATACATATAATTTGTGTTCATTCTAGAATGAAAAAAGCATAGTTATGTTTATTTCCTAATTTTTTATGGTGGTTGCAAGATCGTTCAAATCTACTAAACCCATAAAAAGATTAATGACCAAAAATAACAGATAAAATATAAAGTTTTTTCTTAAGAAATGTTTGATAACTATCCAGACATTATAAAGATTTTGCATATGAAATTTCAAAACTTTTCTGATGTATAAAAGTATTTTTAATCTTAATATGAAAATTACTTTGCATGATAAATCATGATGTAAAAAGAAGAAAAAAGGCATGAGAGAAACATTGCTTTACAAACCTTATGACTTAATAAAAAAATTAGATATTTTGCATATGAAAGCATTGTAATATTTACTGATAATCTGTCAAATTTCGTTATCATTCACTAACTAATTTAAAAGTTATAGCATGGAAACTATAACAAGCACAAAATGGTTATGAGGTCATCACACTGACTGACCCCATTTTGAAAGAGTTAAGTAGGAAGAGATCTGTTGGGGTGAGATAATTGGTTAGCTACTAAATTCATTAGCCCGAAACAGGACAAGCAAGGAGAAGCATCTGGTGTTTGCATGCCCAAAGGAGAAGATCCACTGTTTGAAAACAAAGAGATCTGAAGTGAGTGTTCCCTTCCTTTCAAATGTACAAGACTACTGTGGAATTGTCCAAATGAAGCATTACCACTTTCCCTTGCAACAATTTGTGACCCTGAACTACATTGAATTGCTAAACGTTCTAACAGATTGATGTGGAGAGGAGCTTCCTCTACTGTCTAAAGTCCCTTGAATTCCATATTTTTATAGAAGCACCCCTGGCCCTGAAGAGAAGCATCTGTGAACAGATGTATCTCTGACCATGGAGATAGTAAAGGGTTACCTACTGTTGTGTTTTCCCTGTTCAACTACCAGCTGAGATCCAGCAAACTGGAATCTGACAAACTCTCTGGAGAATCCAGCGCATCTATGCAAATGTTCCAATGGTCCCATAATGACTATTGAGGAGCCCTCATGTGGGCCTGACCCACATCCCCAAAAGAGATAGAATTGTGCATGCTGTGGAGAAGGAGACAACTGAATTTGAAAAACTGCTCATTCCATGGCCTGCAGGTGTAGAGGAGAAAGTTGGGCCTGGCTTACTCTGAAATTGAAAAACACCCCTAAATGAATGAGGTACTGTGTGGGAGTAAGAATAAACTTCTTTTTTGATAAGAAACCCAGCTTTTGCAGCTTGTGATAACAGAGTTTGAGTGTGCAGTTCTACCAAATGTCGAGATGGGGCAAGAAAAAGCCAGTAGTCCATGAATTGGTGAGTGTGTATGCAAAGGGAGTGATGATAATGTGAAAAAGCTCAGAATATCTGGAAAAAACATGTGTGGCCAATTGGTAAAACATGAAACAGAAAAAACCTGGTTGTCATGTACAAAACAGAGATAATGCCTTGAAGACTCTGTGATCGGGATATGAAGGTAAGCATCTGCCACATCAAATTTTGTCCTTCATAGTTCGGGTGAAAAGAGCCTCTGAAGGGAAAGAAACAACTCCATTGTAAACTGAGGAGACGGGAGGAAGCAATTGAGACAAGAAAGGTTGATGAACAGTGTCACAATATAAAAGACTGTTTAGTTTAGATGTTATTGACTGATTTGATTTTGTGAGTGAATATTTAATTTATGTTTAGTTTTTGTTAAGCAGGCAATTGTAGGAGGTTTTATTAATAATTTATGGTTGTTGAGACTATTGAATGTCGTGTGCAATACATTGACATGGACAGACGATTAGGTGATAAAGATATAAATAGTATCAAATGAGCGGGAAGCAGCAGACAGATAACAGCAGAAAAAAGTAAAGTTATAAAATGAAAGGTTTAGCGTGAAGTTAACTATTGTAGAAGTGATAGGCCTAACGTTTAATATGTTAGAGTAAGACTAAGAGTAGGAATGGAGATAAGAAAAATAATTTATTCCATCAAAGTGTGGTTCTAAAGTAACTGAATCAGCCTGAGTGCACTTTGACAAAAGGAACAGAAGATCTACAGAAGAAAGTAGACCAAATAATTACAGTAACTTGTGCTACAACTGTAAGTGAATCACACACAGAATACCAGTGCAAAAGTAACAGAAAAGATAGTTTGGCTTGCTAACTGAAATTCTAAAGTAATTGAATAGGCCTAAGTGGACTTTTGACAAGAAGGAGAGAACTACTTATATAGTGTTTATGACATGCCTATAATATCTATAGTGTTGAAGAATTTGTTGTACATACATTTAACTTGTTCCAAATATATATATTATTTTGAAAACAAGTGAAGTGCGTACCGTTTATCTATCATTGAATTTATTGCTGTAGAAGAATCCTAAGCCCAACAACAACATAGTATATATTTATACTATTATGAAATATAACTAAAGGCCATTTTATTTTAACAATTGGCAAAAAGAAGAATATATATATATATATATATTTTAAAATTCTGACAATCAGTCGCCAATCACCCATGTTTTTTGGTGCAACAAACCGCCAAGAATAAAAAACCTCTAGAGAGGAGGTGACGTGCTCTATGGCCTTTTTGTGTAGAAGATCCTAGATGGCTAGTACTTGGCAGTTGGAAGGAAGAGGGAACTTTGGGAGTGGAAAGCCAACTAGTATGAAAGGAGGAGGAGGAGATATGAACTGAATAATCAACCCACTCCTGAGAATTTGAATGACTCAGTGTATGTCTCCCATACGGACACTAACCTTCTGAGACAAAACCCTACAGGACCTGACCCCATAAGGTAGTCACTGATGCTGAAATTTGCACTCTGCCCTGGTGGAGGATCCCTGCTAGTAAGGTCAAAATCACTTTTGTGTTCCAATGGATCACGGTGCCAAAGCTGGAGGTCTGGAAACTCGAACTGGAGATGTAGAAAACTATTCTGTAGAAGAACTTTGGGACAGTCAAAAAGCCAGTGCAGCAAGTGAAAAATGTAAATGAGTGATATATACTTGAGATTCAATGGAGTCTGGAAGTCCCACAAAAAAAAAATGTCTGAGAAAAGGAGCTTCTCTGAGTTTTCAAAGACCGACATAGGAAGACAAACTTCTTCCAGTAAGGCATCTCTCTTCAAAAGATTCCAGCAACAAACCAACCGAGGAGAGAGCAGAAGCTGATAACCTGACCAAAGTGGATGTCAATAGATGACTAAGGTCCTCCAAAATTTGAGCCGGGGATGTACAATAGGCCTCAGACAACAGCTGCAAAGATGATAAAAAAATGCAAAATTGTTTTAAGCAACATACAAACTCTGGAAAACTGAGATAGATTAAGATGAACAGTGGCATCTTGTGTAGAGCCCCAAATATGTTCTCCATGCAATGGAAAGCCAAGGCATACTGATCCAATAAATGAGGAGGACAAGGCATGGCAGCACCCTCCCTCAATTGATCTGCAAGTCTCCTTGCATGAACCAAGGTGGAATTATTTTCTCCTAATAAAGAAGGTGAAGATTCATAAGTCACAGGAGAAATACTCAATCATTACAAACATGGAGTACTAGTTGTGAAAAAGGTGCAGGAGGCGGAATGTCCATTCAAGGTTTCATGAGTAGCTGTCTGAGCAAAGGATGGTACTGGAAAATAGTCTAAATTCTCATTAGCCCACCTTTGATCTCCCATAGACCCAGCTTCGGAGCCATCAGGTGAAAAGGCATCAGACCACATGTAAGGCAATATCTCTCTACATTGCCCGGGTAATGTTAGACTCATGAGTTGGTGGAGGAAGAGCATCAGGAGACTCTGTGTCTGAGACATGAATGTGAGTATTCATAATTGAAAAATGTCTCTAAATATTTTTTTTTCTTTGTAAAATCAAGAAAATAAATAAATTGAAGCCCCATGAAAAAGGTCTAAAAAATTCAAAAGAAAATGATGGAAATGTAGAAATAGTGCTGAAGAGAAACCCACAGTAAACATGTAACACTCTCTTCTTAATTTTTGCCATAGAGAATAAGTTAATAAGAAAAAAGAATGGGGAGGGTATAGAGGGATCACATATAGAAAGTGCATTGACATAGGTTGAGAAGGTCACAAGATTAAAACTGCTATGGTCCATAAATGGGGGGGGGGTATAAAGACTGGAACAAGCAAGTTATAATTCATACTAATTAATGCTTAGACTGGCAAAAAGTATGTTTTGGAACACATTTCAAATATTTTAAGCAACAATGGTTTTAATAACAGTGTATAGTTTATAAAATATTCATAGTGATAAATAACCACTAATCAAAATTAAGTACAACTATGTACAGAACCTTTTACCTAATGCAAGTATAAAAAAAGGCAAAAAAAAAAAAGAAATCAAGTTTCAAAGAAGGTCAGTCACACAATGCTTACAAACATCATAATTATCTTGTTTCTTTCGTGTCAACATCTGAACAGCAGGAGATATTGCAGATCAATTCACAATGATTACAGTTACATATTGTAAGTGTGCTTACAGCCTTACTTTGTCTAACAAAGTCTTTGGAAGCAAGTCTTTTCATTTCAATAACCTAATAAAACATTTACATAACTGGTGGAGTACAGAGCAGTAAAACTTACTTAAAGTCTGGAGCATACAGGACAGTCATTCCACAAATGGTTAATGTCATTGGAATTCCCCATGCTACACAATGATAGATGATTGGAGTCCTAGTTACATAATCAAAGTGCAACTCTTAAAATTTCAATAACAATAGAAGAAAAGATCAAGACAAACTATGAAGAAAAAAGAAATAAAGTTCTAACTTAAGATAAAATAGCACTTCCAAAAATGTGGCTAAAAGTAAATATATACTACCATTCAGTATTAGAAACATACAAACTTTTAAATATACATTTATGTTTCATTTCAACAGAACTACTTTTCAAGGATAATGGTAGTTTGTCCTGTCTACAGGGTAACCTTTTGTTTTCAGTTTTAGATGTGCTTTTGCCAAATAGAAGCCCAGTAAACATCAATCTAGTTAAAAGATATGTGAAAGCTACATGCACATGTATGTCCTAGATATGCTAATGTACTGTGCATGTTTAAAAAGGTGAACGAAGAGGAGAAAATACAAATATTCATATTGGTATATACAAGTCTGATATTGTGAGGTTTGTTTAACCAGTATTAAAAAATCTCCAAAAACCCAAAACATCCGACAAATACATCATCAATTCAAGCAACTTAATCAAATTAATTAGATAATAAGTTTAAAGACAAGTTATAGATATATCTCAGGTTTTGTTTTTTAACTCTGGGCTTACCATGTTTTCTGCTTTATAGTTTTCAGTACATCAATAGCATAGCACAATGTCCAGAGATAAGTAGCTCCATAACAGAACTGGATCCAACCCTGAACACAAAGACAACAACTAAATCAGTGTCTGTACAATTTGTCACTTTGTTAATCCAGATGTGAACAAATGTTAATATACAGCATACAACAACAGGCCTTGACCTTAACCTTTGAAGGCATTAACAAATAATTTTTTTGTGAAGAAAATTTGGGCCAGCTATTAAGAACATTATCCTTCTCTAAAATTAAATGTAATTGTGTCTTACTAAACTACTTCATGTATCAAATTCAATAAATAGTGTATATCCTATTTATATGTATACATTTTTTGTGATGTTTTACTTTCAAATATCAAAACCAATTTTAATTATATGCAGGTATTTTTTTTAGAACTACTTCATCAAAGACAAAAATACTCAATCTGTGTACAAACTGGTGTATCTAGGCTACAATTGACATAGTCTACAGAACCTCACTGCTGATGCCCACCCTATAAGAAAAAAAATAAGTACTCTACTAATAAAAGTAATGATTTAAATTCCTAAAGCTTGTGAAACCTCAGAAGTCAAAGGTCTAACATTTGTATTAAGCATGGACATATTAAGAGGAATGTGGGTTAAATATTGTAGTTTGCTTACTTTTAATTTCACTATTACCTCCAATGAGCTATCAATTAGTCAAAATATTTCTACCCACATTGCCAGCAAAAACTAAACTGCACGGGCTGTCCAATAAATCAAACTTAGTTGAGGCTATTGTCTTAGTATCTATATTTCCTGATACTTAGGCTGGGTATGCCATATAGCTTAAACAAAGATCTCAGAACTTGCATGGTATTAGCAAGTGAAAAAAATACATTAATCACAATTATAGTACCCTTCTGTATTCATACTCTTGAACATACGTGACTAAAGTGCATGTATCACTTGTGTACTGATATTCAACAATAAGAATATATGAATACTTCTGAAATTTTTCTGGTAATTTCTGTACTGGCTTCTAAGTTTTACTAACAAAACTCCAACAGTAACAAGCAACTTGCATGCATTAATTTGAGGTCTGAATACTAAAGGTCTAACAGTTTAATTCGAATGAGTTGTTTATTTGAATTTAGAACATTTGTATATCGCTTTTGGCATTTACCCTTTCAATTATTTTAATTACACACACATATAATGTTTCACCAAAACTATAATTACTGACTGTTATAAAGTCATTTTCAAAATAATATTATAAGCAGCATTTAAATTTCATTACCTGGGTATTTTGTTAAGTATAGAATGTATCAAATTACAAAAGAACATTCAAATGCATTTTGTCACATAGTGAAGTTCTTAATAGTTTGGGAAAATTATTAATATGTACATATTTTTTGAGTTCAAGATTTATGAATCTTTCCTAAATAGTCAACAATTTTGAACATGTACAGTGTAACTTGCATATGGCAAGAACATTATAAAAAATAGAATACATAGTCATTAAGGAAGAATAAAAATTGTGTGTTTGTGTTTCAGAGCAAAGTCACATTGGGCTATCTGCTGTGTACACTGTCAGAAATCAAGCCCCAGATTTCAGCATTGTAAGTCTACAGACTTAACAATGTTTCCACAGAGGATAAGAAAAGAAAAAGAACATACATAAATGTATATCAAAGTCAGTATCACTTGTGCTAAAATACGAGTTACTCCTTGAATCTAGTAGTCTTCGCTATGGGAGTTCATAAAGCAAGAATGCTAGGTCTATATACTAAAATAAACTGGATGGGGATAAATTACTACACATCATAATCTCAAACCTTGTGTATTTAACCAATGGGACGATTTCCACTGTTTACAAGATATAAAAATTTTCAAATGATAAAATATCAAGAAAACAGTTATCTTGTTTCATCAGAAAAAATACTGTGATTTATTATAGTTATTATCTTAATTTTGGATAAAAAATAACTTTTGCGTGTAAACTGGTTTTCATTTATTATTGATGTGTGACTGGGTTAGAGTGGTTGAGAACATAACACACTAGTGCAGTTTTTCTATTAAATGTTTTCTTTAATGACTGTTAAATACTAAGAACTATTATAAATCTTAAAAGAAGTTTATCACTTGACATAGAGCAGTAAAAGAACAATAATTGTTTATCAGTTTACTATGAAAAAATTAAGCCCTTAAAATATAAAATAACATTTAAAAAGTCCTTACAATGTGTGTAGTTGTATTAACCATGTACATTAACCCTAAAAAGGTTCATGAAAAACACCACATAAAAAAGTAAAACAAATAACTAGATAAATACAAAACTAAAAACTTGCATTGTGGCTTGTGTCAGTATATAGTTGCAGTAACACATTGCACTGATGATGTAATCATAATATTACAAGTTTGTATTATTACACCAAATTGTAATTGTTCTATAATATATGTTTTAAGTGACATTACTTGCTTGGTTGCAATATTTAGTTTAATTTCCTAAAATGGGCAACAATTAATGATCCAAGTTTACATTTCAAGAGATTAAACCTACAATTGTAACAAAACTTTCATTTTATGTCTGAAATTAGATGCACTTTTCTTTATTATAACCAATATTGTTAATAGAAAAAAACAGAATAACTTATGCTTAAAAAAGTTGGTTGCTGCTACATTTATAATTATGTTATTAATAATGTTTTATGTCTGTAAAGACAAGTGTGACTGTATTTCAATTAATTTTCTACTCTTTCAAATAATGACAGAAATAAATGTTACAATAAGCTAACAATATGCAAGTTAACATTTTCTAACACTGAAAATGTATTTCCAATAGGTACTTCCTACTTCTCACCCAAAGCTATCTCAACTTTGATCTGCCCTCTAATCATTGTTAAGCTTTTGAACAGCGCACCAGTCTTTTATACCCATTTATTTTTTTGCATCATTGCAGCAACATGTTCTGATCCTGTGACTACCCTCCACCAATCATACGACACCATCTATACTAATGCAGGAAGCTAGCTCACTCTACCAGTGCAGCACAATTCTCACTTTAAAGAATTGGCATATATAAACCAGAAACACCAGCATATCAGTGGGAAGGAAGGGTGGGAAATGTTATAAAATGTTAACTTCCGAAACCAAAACCACCTGTTCTAGAATCCCACATTGGAAAGGTGGAGGGGCTGAAGGAAGGCACAAAAACAATCAAACAAGCAGAGAACAACCACCATGAAAAAACAGGTGTGCCACAAGTAAGATAGGAGACACACTTGTGGGGTATAGCACTACTTCTGGAACAGGTATGCTCTTCACCCAGTAAATAGGAAAGGAAGACACATAGGGTGGAATTGAATCAGATACATGGCCGAGGCTAGAGGACCATATATGAACAGGCCAAGTGTGGTCTGCCTGGGGATAAAACATCCAGGAGAAGCACCTTGGGATATGATGAATTATGCCAAGTGCAGTCCAGGGATAAAAACAACATCAAAGCACCTTTCATAAGTTTATAAGATCACACTTGTCCATTGGAAGAAGTATATGTTTGTATAGCTTAAAGGAATGATTGGTTCTCGGGAAGCCAGAGTCCCCAGAAGCAAAAGAGCCTAACATGCAGGGTATAAATGAGAAGAACAAATCTTGGTAACAAAAGATTTCATTGCTTGTAGGCAAAGTAGTGAAGGCTGAGGTGAGAGTTGATTAACATGCCCAGATGTACCAAATACTGGGTTGGTGTGAGAAAAGACTAGGAATGCTTGATTATATAGTATAGCCAAACAACCTCTTGCAGAAGAATGTAGGTGCAAAAGAAGAAATCCTCCCCAAGAAGGGGTAAGGATATGCCAATCATCCATGTAATAATGGAACCTCAGCCAAATCTGTGAATATGGCAGGTGAATGCCCCATGACTCGACTGAGGATTTAAGTAGCAGATGCAATGCCAAAAGGAAAAGTGGGAACGGGAAGACTCTATTACAGTGGATGGAACAGAGAAAATGTCTGGAGGATGGGGCAATTGGAATATATAAAAAAGTATCCACTATGTCAACCTTAGTCATTCACATACCAGGTGAAAAGAACCATTGGAAAGAAAAGAAACTCTCCATCCAGAGTCATGGAACAACTAAAAATGAGTTGCAAAATGATAGATCAATAACCAGATGCCAATCTTTGGTCTTCTTGGGGATCACAAAGAGATGACAGTAATATCTAGAGTAGGGGTAAATACTTTCTTGATGGCATTCTCAGCCAAGAGATCTGAGATTGCATTCTCAAGATGCTAAAGATAAACAGGGTCAGAGAGAGGAGGAAAGGAATCAGGAAATGGGGAGAGGGGAGGAAGAAAATGGAGTGAAAGGTCCTGGGTGAAAAACCTAAAGAACCAGTCAGTTGACCAAAGGCTGGCAAAGTGAGGCAGAGAAGCACCCAACAGGATAGTTCCTGAGGAGACAAGTGATATCCATGATACTGTGAAGTGGAAGGATGGGAAAAAGAAGAAGATCAGGAAGCTGGAATAAGAATGGGAGATGTGGATTGAGCAGGCTTAGGAAAAAGAACAAAAGGGGCATGGTCAAGAAAGATAAGAAACCAAGGAAGACAACAAGGGCTGATGCGTGGTGCAGGTCTTCAGGAAAATCATGGAAACTCTCAAAGACATCCAAGTGAAAAAAAGAAGCATGGTAAAAATCACAGAGATAAGAGCAAGATAGGCAAACAAAAGTTAGAAGAGCATCTCAGTTCAACAAATCCCAACAGCAGGGGAATAAAGTAAGGAGGGACAGAGCAGTAGTAGTAGTATGGTTAAACTGGTAAACAGGAAAGACCAAACCTTTCAAGAAAACTCTTATGGAGCAGAATGAAGTGCCTCAGAAATAAGATAAAGGGACAAGGTGTTATGTAGGAGGATAGTAAGAAAGAGACAAAAGAATGAAAACTGGGCACTAGAAAGTAAAATAGAATTCAAGGGGTTCATTTCTTCCAAGCAGGTAAAAGAGATTCAAAAGACTGGGAATCAAGGAGAGAAAATAAAGAATTATTGTAAGCAAGGACAAAAGATTCAAATAGGTGAGGAAAATGAGGCATGTGAGTATGGATGTGCAGTTGTTGAAAAAGAGTCAGCATGAACCCAAATATCAGATGAAGTAGGGAAGACAAAGTAATTGTGAGAATGTGTTTCGTGTAGCAAAGACTGGGAGGAATTGAAAGACATTGGACAAAAAAAAAAGAAAGAAAAGAACATACAAAGATTGAGAAGCTGAGGATTTTTTTCCACAGACAAAACATTACCTAGAGCAAACATTAGTAGCAGAAATAGCCAGCCAATTAAAATCATTGTTCTCCCGGTCTTGTTCAAACTGAGAAGAAGGACGTCAGCTAAATGGATGGAAGGATGAACCCCATTATGCATGAGAGAACCAATAACATGTTGAACAATGACTCTCGTGTCCTCTACAGACAATGAGCCTCCAGTAGCAACAGGTCCAATGTAAGTAACATCGTTTGTCACTATCACAGGATGAAGTACAAGTTACTGTCACTAGAGAATTCATAATGGTTAAGTAATGAAAGAAACCAGTTAAACTTGAACAAAATTTAAGTTTCTTTAAAAAACATCCCATTAAGAAAATACCAAGGAAAAGAATAAAGTTATTTTGAGCACAAGTGCTTTGGTGGAGATACTGCACAAGGATGTTGTGTCGCCCTTCTGTTAGTGGAGGGCTATTGTCACATGATGATTACATCATGCAATAGAGCAATTCACATTAAAACACATGATTTTCAGGTGGGAGTTAGCTCAAGGTTAGTGACATGTCATCCTCATAGGCAGATGCAAGATATTCTGTTTGCAGAGGTAAAAAAATAATCTCAAAATTTCCCATCTAAGGACTGCCCTCCCCATACAGTGTAGTGCCACATATGCTGTTAAAAGGTATGATAATCTCACAAATTACCCCTATTGCCTATCCTTTACTGTGCATGATGCAAGGTTTTTGTGTCTTACATTCAAAATTTTATGAAACTACTTTTTGTGTATGTTATACCAGATAGTATAGCATAAAATCTTAGCTAATAATCCATATTTTAATAGTATATAAGTTTTAAGTTCAAAATTCTATAAGGCAATATTTAAAAAAATCCTGAATTTCCCCTAGTGTGACACACGACACATTTTCTCTAGGTATATTCTCTATTTTATCCACCACCCCTTCAGTAACTATGAAATTAAATGTAAATTACTCACTATAAAATTGTCATTGTTCAGACAAACCATAACTTTTATAGCATTCAATTTTGTTCGGTTACAGATCTGTCAAATAAATACTCAGACCCCTCCTGTCACATCCTCTCTTTCAGGATTTGATTATAGTTCTTTCTTATGTTTAATTATATATTACTTATAATCAATAGAAAGTCAAGGTTTTCATCTATAAAAGGATGTATTAAATAACATTGTGTTCTGAGCTGATAATCATCAATTCCAATTGTAATACAACTTTGTTTTCCACAAGAATCACAATGGCTAGCTTGGATGAACTTGTAACAGCTCTTGTCGCATAGTTAGAAAGCCAGAGAAATTGTGATTCTTAGAGGAAATTGTCTGCTTTGTGCATGTTATTAGTCTATATTCTTTAGTGCATTGTTTAATTAAATATAAAGTATTTAATCCACTACTATCATTAGTATTAAAATAAGTAGGGTTCAGTGACATTGATAGTTGACCGGAAAAAAAGAAAAGAAAAAGAATACTCGGGTAAGTACTTTATAACTTGTTTTTCTTGTTTATTCTTTATTTCTTATTATAAAAGTAGCTAAAATGTAAAAATAGGGATTTTTTAGGTGAGTTGAGGTTAGATTAGGTAAAATAAATAATAATGATATAATAAAAATATTTCATGACGCACACATGCGAGCAGCTTGGAGCAGCTCATGGGCAATGAAATTCAATAGTTTAATGTGAGCTGCATGTTCCTAAAGTGAGTTACAACTTATAATGACACAGATAGTAGTTAGACATGGTTCAAAAGGCAATAAAACAATAAAATTTAATTATAAATAAATGTATACTGTTACAAGTTTAAAGCTACTTAGGATAAACAAATGTAGTTTTATGTTACATCTGAAGTCATTCTAGAAAGAAAAAGGGTAATTTAGATTTGTTTCGATTTTTTTTTGGGATGGTTATAACATCAGTCAAGTGTAGTTAGTGTAGAAAAAACATGAGATAAAATATAAAGTTTTAATGAAAAGAAACATCCAAAATGTATGTAGGAGGTTTTAGATATTACATAAATAAAATTTGAAATTTTTGAGATGAAGAAAAGCATATTTAAGCTTAACATCAAATCACTTTGCACACAACTATTCAAAACAAATACTTGATATATTCAAGGACAAATCTTCTTTTAGTTTATTAAAATACTTCACTAAAAATAAGATTTTTTGTATGTGAAAGACTCATAATGTTTACTGAAAGACTGCCAAATTTCGTGAAGATATACACATTATATTAAAAGTTAGTAGTATCAAATCTATAAACACTTTGAACAAGTACAAAGAGTTCACATGGTCAGTCCAATTGGCCAAGCCCGTGTTGAGAGAGTTAAAAGACATTTAACAATCTGTAATAAAAGCACTTTCTTCACATATAATGTAGAGGTATTTAAAGATACTTCTATTTAATGGCTACAATATCTTTCAAATGAGTAAAGGCATTAAATTATTTTATTATAAATTTTTCAGCTTATTAGAAAGTAAATATTTTACAAACAATTTGAATCCAACAGTTTTAAACTTGAAATATGAATGTTTTAGAGGGCACTAGTATATAAGATCTTAAACTAGTAATATTTATAATAAAACTTTCAGTATATCTAGGTCAGAATGACTACCTTCAGGCAAACAGGCCTGGCTCAGTTTACCCAGGTTTGCTTGAAAGATTAGAAGGTAACAGTACCAGAACTATAGAGGTGGGTTAATAGTGTATTTCCTAAAAAGGGGGGCCTAAAGTTACCTGGAGGGGTTGAATGTTTTAACCAGTTGCACCACCATACACAGTTGTGTGTTTTCTGTTTGTCAGTCAATCAGTAGACATTAAAATGACATCACATGAACTTCAAAAGCAAGAAATAAAAATATTTGTTACTCTTAATGTTGGTTTTATTTACTCTTGAGACAACTCTTTTGGGGGCCCTGTGAAAGTACATCTAGTATTATCATATATATTATTGTGAACTACGATTACAAAAACATGTATTATTAGATCTAACAAAATGGGTGGATGTTGGGTTGTATTTTGTGATAGAAGTCAAGAGTGATGATATCAGATTTCTATTTCTAGGGTTAACTATCATACCCACAACCAGCTATAGACAGTGAGTAGTAGTGGGTTCTGGCACCCAGATCCTAACCCCTTACTCAATCTGTAGCTTGTTTTTCTAGTTTTGCATCTGTTGTTTTGCTTATGGCTGATAGACAGAATATCCACAATGATTTTGGATGTTATGACCACAGACATTTTCCCTTTAAAATTATACTATTTATACTTTAGAGTAAATGGTAAAATTTTACACTGTTTTATTACAGTTTTGCTGGTATGATCATATACTTGTTGGCATGTACATCTATAATAAAAAAGTTTTATTTTGCATAATAACATATTATGGTGAAAAACACTTAAACTTGCTGACACGCCTAATTTCATGTACTGGTGATATCCACCTCATTCTCCTCACTAATATGGATTATAACTATGGAAACAAATATGACTGAATACTGTAGGAGGATTAATACTCACAGCCAGCTCAAAGACTATTTATATGAATGTCATAATATGGTGAACAGAAAGTGTGATTATACTAATCATTGTGCCTAATACACAAATTCCTCTAAATGCCACAACCTTAAAAACCTATATCTATGAGTAATTGGAGTAGAAAATTTACCTTTTTTAAATTTGTATTGCCAACAATTGTTACATCACTCTCAACAAACTGTCAAGTATCTTTATGTGTAGTTTTACTACAACTAAACTTTAGCTAAAGCTCCATAATTACTCAGTAATACAAAAAATAAAGAATGTGTTTTCAATGTAACAAGTCCTAGACATACCTAATTCCAAAATAAGTGTGTTAGGAATACTAGAAAATTATATCTATCTCATAGACATGAAAGTCTATAACAGGACTGTTTGAAACTACCATACTGCAAATCGTGACTCATATACTTTCTTTCAAATTTTTTTTATATTATTATTAATACATTTTAGGAATGATAAGGGTTTTCTAGCAATGAAAACCAGATAATCCAAACCTATCAGGGCCATAACACACAAGCCACAGAGTAATAATATGTCTAAAAGCATTTATCATTTTAAAATGTTTTTAAACATCACTCAGTGCAGTCTAGCTGCAGTAGATTTATTTACAGCTTGGTATTGCACTAACACAATCACAAATAAATAATATATCTTATGAATGAGAGTGGTAAATGAAAAATGTAATTTCTACAAGTATGTAGGCACTCTAGGAATAAGGTATAAAATGTTTTTGCTTTCTCTAGTACAGAACACTATGTACAACAGTCAACAACGATTCTAACTTTGTTTCATGAGAGCTACATGTATATAAAGGCTTCTATACATAAAGTCAGTTGTAAAGAAATATTTAATGGACCCTTTGGTTAAACATCATATTACAAGTATTAAGTAAAATAATACAGAAAGTTTGACTTATCCATTAACATACTGATATAATAGCACAGAAAGAGCTTCCAGCTTCAGAATCAATGTTGGACATCCAATCATTTTCAGTTAGCCACAAAATGGATCGAAGAAAGATACCTAGAATTTATGAAAATTTGAATAACAATATCACTGACACCTACAGTTACTAATAAAATAAAAAAATTGTTAAACATGAACAAATCAGGTGTTGCCACCAGAAAATAAATAAACTGGAATGTGGTTCAGACTGTGTGAGGACAAATAATAAATTAGTTAAAGAAACTTATAAAACAGAAATTCCTGAAAAGTAACATATTCAGCCATATTTTTATGAAGTTGATCATGTCCACTGCAATG